GGGGTGCTTTACAATGGGAGGTCCCTTAGCTTACGGGGAGTCTAGCTGACAGACAATGCCGGCTTTTACAAGCAATACAGGAAGCTTTTGCCTCATTTCAGACCTCCCCAGGACAAATCCTAAAGCGGAGCCTCTTTCTGCTTGTTGCTGCGGTAGCCACCCCAGAATACTCCTATGTATTTCTCTCTGAGAGGCGTACCTGAACCTTGGCCTTTGCAGACGGGCTGAGCCTAAATAAAGAGGCCTGGCCGGGTTTCACCACGAGCACTGACGTCGCTGTCACATCCACCTCTTCTGAGCTCTTCTGGTGTGTCCTCTTCGAGTCGCCCCGGAACCGTCATCACACGGCCACACCTCGCGTTGACGCCATCCGGGCCTACATCAGATCCTCACAGCTTGATCTTCACAGTGCATATTTACAATTACTGTTGGGCATGGGGGGGGGACCTGAAGGCCGGAGTCTTTCATCAGCCACTAGGATTCTTCAATGGTAAAGGACTCCCAGGGGAAAGAGATGCTCCTCTCGATGCAGACAGATTAAAGCTTAATTTTTTTCATAAGCTCCAGGCCTAGTAGCCATAGAGTGGTGATTTACTTACCACGCCGTCGTCTTCAACTGCAAATTCAGCTGTCAGGTTCAGGGCATTTCCTTGAGTTATCAAATTTCTATACATCGCTGGCAGTCGAGCTGTGCAGCTCAGTGGAGTTTAATTCTAAGAATCACAGTTAGGAGAAATAACTGTTGGAAAATGTATATGTCGCCTTTCTCCGCTGTGCCTTGTTCGATGCTCATAAATATAATCATTTAAGACTTTAAATATGCATGTTGCTGTTACCAGTAGGTGCTTAAGGTGTTATGGCTGTGTTTACTTTTTAATTGCCCTGCTGTTACTGGTGTTGTGATTCGGAAAATGGGACCTTGTCACCCATTTGAGGTATATATTTTAGGCTCAGAGATTAAATCAGGTTTACTCAGTATTTTCAATAAATTGACGGTCCTCTCAGTGGGGGTGTTAGGCGAAGATGGCCGCGACCTTTGTGCCGACATCAGAGGGATCCTGTCATTGTGCGGTCCGCATGATCGGACCTGAGCCACTCAACGGGACTCACACTAATTGAGGTCATGTGACAATCTCTCCTAAGGGCTTTTAAAAACCCATCCATCTTTCTCTTTAATGTTCAGAAGTGGAGGAGCTCTCCCGGGGAGGTGACAGAAATGAGACAGCCTACCTTTTCTGGGTCATTAGTCCTCACTGGACATGCGGGGGACTCCACCCCCGGTCCAACTTAAACACTGTGCCCTGGACTTTTCCTCCACCCAGGGGCGATTCTAGGATTTCGAAAGGCAGGGGGGATAAAAGGGGCCAAAATTCATACAGAGGAGCCAACCTTACTAGTAACCAATGACACATTTTCATTTGGTGAGTGACAGGGGATGGGCCAATCAGTTTTCAGCTGGGACTGACACCCCTGTAGCTCCACCCATGACCCATGTGTATGGCCCTACCTCCACCAGCACCAGAACTGAGCAGCTTCTACCTTCTGGGTTTTGGTCAATGCGACCTTCAACCCAAACAAAACCAGTCTCAGAATTCCAGTGAATGCATCTTACAGTACGTCACATGACTGCTGTAAACTGGCATCTCACAGCATACGGATGCATTTTAGCTATAAATATAGAATATAAAACTTCTAATACAGCACCCGGATACAAAAACAAGAGCAGAGAAGATAATGAGAAAACAACTTAAGCAGTGCAGTAACTGCAAAGGGAGCAGGCAAATAAATGGTTGATTGGTCGGGGGACTAGCCTGCATTGTTAAATTAAATAGTCACAATCCCAGTGCTTGACCTAGGAAAAGAAGGTTATAAAAAAGCACCCAATAAGCAGCTAGCTAATAACACCAGGGGAGTGTTTCCTCAGGAGCTGTGGTCGATCGACTTTTCCAGCAAATGCCTCATTTAGCGCCTGGCAAAGGACAGTTAATTGTCCTTGACTTTATTTGTCTGCAGGAGTCGAGCGCTCAAACTGCTGTCATGTGGTGCGACTGGTGTTTGGAGAGCCAGGAGACCGCCGGCTCTGAAAACACTGCCCGAGGACCGGCATGATAATGGCATCGATTTCAGCCCCTCCCCCTCAGAAAGAGCAGAGTCGATGTTTGCTTTGCGATGAGCAGGGAGTCTGGCTTGTGTGGCAAATAGCAGCACGTTGATCAAACAATATTTTGCAGACACTGGCAAAGCATTTGCATAGTATTTCAGGAGCAGCGAGTGATGTTCTGCGCTTGGGCCAGGAGTTGATAGTTCTAAACCCAGTAGGTTGTTGGTTTGAGCCCCACAAGGGCCCATTTCTGATAGCATACTACCTGTAAGACCTGTAAAACTCTTAAGCATAGTTGTTCAAAAGCACCAGCTGAGCAACTCAAATAAGACATTACTGACCAATGCCTTTGATTTATGGAAGATGAGTAACTAACAGCTATGGGCACCCCTACTGAGCCATTTCTGATGTGTACACTACAGTCATGGCCAAAAATTTTCTCCCAGAAAATTGTTGCAGTTACAAATGCTTCGGTATTCACGTTTATTTCATTTATTCATTTTGTTGGCACTGGAATAACGCAAAAAGCAGAAAGAAAAAAAAAACCAAATCTGAGACATTCCATACAAAACGTCAAAAACGGCCTGGACAAAATTATTGGCACCTTATCAGAATTGTAAGAAATTATTGTATTTCAAGCATCAGATGCTCCTTTCTACTCACCTGTAGCAATTACCAGGTGCTGGCAATATGGGAAATTACCACTTCCATCAGTTAAAATGGAGAAATATTGACTCAGTCTTGTTTTTGAGTGTCTGTGTGTACCACACTGAGCATGGAGAAGAGAAAGAAGAGCAAAGAATTTTCTGAGAATTTGAGAACCAAAATTATAGAAAAGCACGGACAACCCCAAGGCTACAAGTCCATCTCCAGAGATCTTAATGTTCCTGCGTCCACTGTGTGCAACACTGTAAACTTTACGGCACGTGGCACTGTAGCTAATCTCTCTGGACGAGGAAGAAAGAGAAAGATTGATGAAATGTTACAACGAAGAATTGTTCGAATGGTGGATAAAGAACCTCGATCAACTTCCAAACAAATACAAGCTGACCTGCAGGCACAGGGTACAACAGTACCAGCTGACACTATCCGTCGCCATCTGAATGAGAAGGGATGCTTTGGCAGGAGACCCAAGAGGACCCCACTGCTGAGACAGAAACATAAAAAAGCCAGATTGGAGTTTGCTAAAACCTACCTGTGGAAGCCACAATCCTTCTTGGAGAATGTCCTCTGGACAGATAAGACAAAAATCATTCTTCTGTTTACCGAAAACAAAAAGAAGCCTTCAAAGAAAAGAACACGGTCCCAATAGTCAAACATGGAGGAGGTCCACTGATGTTCTGGGGTTGCTTTGCTGCTTCAGGCACTGATAGTCTGGACTGTTTGCATGGTATTATGAAATCTGAAGACTACCAAAGAATTCTGGCGCACAATGTAGGGCCCAGTGTCAAAAAGCTGGGTCTCAGCCTGAGGTCATGGGTCTTACAGCAGGACAATGACCCAAAGCAAACCAGAAATGGTTTAAGACAAAGAGCTGGAGAGTTCTGAAGTGGCCAGCAATGAGTCCAGATCTAAATCCCATAGAGCACCTGTGGAGAGATCTAAGAACAGCAGTTGGGAGAAGGAACCCTTCACATCTGAGTGACCTGGAGCAGCTGTTACAGAAAGTGATTAAATCAGTTATTTCTTCCAAAGGGTCTGCTACCAAGTATTACAGTAAGTAGAAGGTGCCAATAAGTTTGTCCAGGCCATTTTTGACATTTTGTGTGGAATGTCTCAGGATTTGTTTTTCTCTTGTGTGCTTCCAGTGCCAACACGAGAAATAAATATGACAACACCAAAGCATTTGTAATTGCAACGATTTTCTGGGAGAAGTGGTGCGTTTTCTGACATAAATGCAGGGGTGCCAATATTTTTGGCCATGACTGTATGTAGGTCTGTTGGGCAAAAGGGAGGTTCATAAAAGGCTTTCAAAAGCAGAGCTACAGAAGACAAAAATACATCTCTGTATAATGTCAAAATCAACCTTGCTTTCAATTGGCTGCTGACAGCCTGCGATTCAGTGGAATTAATTAGTATCCCTTAATTAAAAACATGAATCCAGGAAAAGAATATAAAGTGAAGCAGAGAAACAATTAAAATTTTAGATATGAAACACAGGGATGTGCTATTCAAACAAAGAGCTTTTTAATTAAGGTGACAGGTGATTTAAATAGGACGTTACAGCTGGCCTTATTCGTACACAATAGGGCTCGTTCTGCATATGAATAGGAAAAACTTGTGGGGGAATCTCTCACAGCTGTCTTATAAATGTTAGGAGGAAAATGAGGCTGGAACGAGGAGCAGGCGATTAATCTGCAGAGCGTGACCTCGTAGAAAGAGCACTCAAGCCCTGAACTCTGCATCGGCTGCAAGAGTGAGCTGTACAGACCCGGCTGCTTGTGGGTGATGAGTCGTCATAGCTGATGGGTTTAAATCTCCCATCTGAATCGGGCCCTGCGGTGTTTAAAAGCATAACGCTCCCTCCCTATTAGTAGCATATTTTTATACACGAGAATTTTTGTCTTGATGTGGGGAACTAGCTTTTTTCTATTTGCATTTACATGTCCTTACTCCACTCAGTGCAAACTATTAGAAGCTGTGTTTTGGAATAATAAGAAGACTTTTTAATAGCAAAGTGCATCCTGTTTACAGCCTGACCTACATTTTAGAATAGCATGAAATACTTGGAAATCTCATTGCGTTATGAAGTTAGCAATCCAAGTGCCGCTGTTATTTTTTATGCAATTCTGAGACCCAAATGACGGTCTGTGCCACTGTGAACTGCACCCAAACGAAGGATTATTTCATAAACCCCACAAACACACCCGCTGGTACAGAAACGCAAATGACAAACACATATATGAAATCACTTTATTTCTGTTGTGCTGTGATTCCATTTTGGAGGGAACGTTACACTCCAACGAAACACCCGATTTGGTAGCATGCAGCGAGAGCTATCAGGCAGAGTGGAAACACAGAATTCACACGCTAGTCTCATAGTAACCTTGCTACCACTGCAGACCGAATGCATGCACACTAGTGCCAACGTACAAGAGAAGAGGGGGAGAGGTCAACGGGCAGCACAATACGCAAAAAACGCACCGAATACAGCAACTCCCAAACACAGGCACTGAAGGACAGAAACAGGAACATCTACAGACAGGAAGTACCTCAGAGTCAACACCACCGTAACACAGAAAAAACGAACAATGCAGCAAAACACTTAACAGTCACATTCAGGTTACACCAAAAAGGAACATTTTTCAAAGTGTCAGGCAGTCGATCTACTGACAGTGTTGAAAGAGCCTAAAAATCAGGTAGACACTTCTGGCTTGCTGAAGCATTAGAATGACTAACAGTTGTATGTAATGCTGCTGCATGGACCATGTGACAAATATATGCAGTAACATTAGCCAAGTAGCAAATAAATTTTGTATCGTACAGTTTAATAACTATTACCATTAATAAAAATAATAGTAATATCAATAACATGGAATGCAAGGAATATTATTTACACAAAAATCCTTATTTAACTATATTTAATGGCAGCTCTATTGTACAAAAGGCAGTAATTATATTTGAATGTGTATATATATATAATTTTTTTTTAGTAAAAGTTTAGTCAAAGTTGTCAGGAGCTATGGATGTGGAAAAGGGTTATTGACAAGTGGCCATATGGTACAAGTTGGGCTGGAACGGGACCATGCTGCTGATCAGCAGGCCAGTGTTACTGAGCTGACACTGGCCATGTCCTGGGGCTATTAAATGATTCCCTAATCATTTCCATGTAACACATAATAACACCGCTCCCTTAAATAATAATAATGATGATGATGATGATGATGATGAAATATAGCAAAAACAACCCCTTTCTTTGGTTTAATTGAAACGTACATAGAAGCATCTAACTAAACACAAGAGATAAAAGACTACTTCAGTAAATCAGTGAGGCAAGTTCTGCAATGTATGCCCGTCCCTACACACCCCCACCCCGCCCCCCACGCAAACGCACATCTGCCTTGCTAATTTATGCACAGGACATACAGAAAAGCCACATAATCCAGGATGATCTTTTCCCAGTCCCAAATGGCTGAACTCAAACACAGATGAAGAGTAGACACACCAAGGACAGATTACTTGCTCCCTGTGACTGTACTGCTTACAGTGATCATTCCCTTTGCGATCATGTCTTTCTCTGTGTTCACATACATACAAAACGTCTACTATCCTGGACATGATTAGCGTGACATGTTTAACCAAGGCTGCAGGTGATGTCTCGAATAGTTTTGGGTGCACTGGGAAGCATCTGTAATTTACGTCTAATGGATTTTGAACAAAGAAATGTCTGCAATTCTAAGCATATGCCCAAGATGAGATGTCAGTTTTAAACAATTTATAACACTTAATTAGTGTGTCGTCAGCCACCGGAAAGATATGTATGACTAATAACTTAATGTAGGACCATATAGACAGGAACAAGAAACATTGGTCGGCTAGGTAACACAATTGTTACTAGCTACTATTTTCTGTTTGTTTTTAGCATCTCAACAATCAAAGCATTTCTGAAATGATGTGTGTTTGGTGGAATGACACCATGAATGCAGCTCCAGTGCTTTAGTGCAGTTCTGAGGAGTCTTTCCCAACATGTTTGTGTCCATTAGAAAATCGGAGCCCTTCCGGGCTCCAGACAGAGAAGTCACACGTGATTGGCTGGAACAGACAACAAGCTGACTCAGAAGCTTCTCCGATTCACTGACATCAGTAGTTCTTAACCAGCGCAAACCAGCTGGAATGTTTCCGAATATCTGGAATGTTTTGGAATGCTCACTAAGGACAAGTCATCTTAACAGGCAGTTCACATGGTGGCAGTTTGGTGTCGGTGCAGGAACTGTACAAAACATTCAAGGAATTTACATTTCACATATTAGAAAAGCAGGTAGCAGTCAATTAAGGAGCAAAGTAACAAACAGGCAAAGCACACAGCACAAAAAAACAACAGCAGCTTCTCGAACGGCATGATTCTGCACATTTAGGTCAAATAATTAATTAGAGTTACTTATAGATGTTTAAAAGGCTATGTTAATGGTGACATCACGATTACACATGTTTTCTTCACATCGTACTACCTTGAAATATCTATATAGTCACATGGTTTCAAAGTGCAAAAATAGAAATATAAAGTCATTCAGTAATGAAAATGGAGGGGACTACATTCTCTGATGTCACATCATTCTCAGATTTTTTAATTTATAATGTCATGATGAATTTATACTGTAATGTTGTACCACTTTTTAAAAAAATCATTTATTAATTATTATTATCATTATTATTTAATTTTTTTCTTCCTTTTCCCATTTCTTTTGGTGACCCTGTGCACCACTTTCGTCAACAAATGTCGATTTTAAATTCGCTCTATAAATAAATTTGACTTTGGTGTTGACTTATCCATACGAGAAGAAAACTCCTTTCTGTTTCACAAAATAAAAGTATAGAACCATTCCTATAGAACCAGATTGGTTATGGTTTTTTTTCCACTGCTTTTGTAAATGTAACATCAGAGTCAGATCCATTATAAAAATGAATAAATAGAGCATTTCGAAAAAAACTGACTATTGTGAAAAGTAATCGCTAACTAAGCTTTTAAAGGTTCAGTTAACTGTATGCCACTGTAATTTAATTTCTACGTGTCCTCCGACACTCTAACCCAACTCTACAATAAAGACTATGCACGTGGAAGACAACACCATATCTGAGCACAGACTCTACTTATTAAGCAGCACGAACAGCAATGAAGATTGTCTGTTATTGCTGATGTGGGATCACATTCCCATTAATTAACCAACGGACACAGGACAACTTCATTAAGGACAATATTGCACCATGGTCATTGTCTGGTTTATAAAGTATACACACAGCATCCCTTTTAAACTAATACGCTACAGAACACTAAACAGCTCTGTATTTACATTTATGAAAAACAAAATATATATAGCCCTCTAGATCCAATTGTGTAGTAGCTTGATACTATTCTTTCGAGAATCCTGATAGCATCGCTTGCATTGAACGAATGGCACATATAGTCTTTTGACATTGAAACGAGCATTGAGACGAGCAGGCTTGTCCACACCAAGCCGTTTTGTCCTAGCTATTTAAACGACTCACTCCTCCGTGCACAGTGGATGAGCATTCAAACGAACGTTTATTATTACGCGCGACGACTGCGGCATGTGTCTGTGAGGGAGCAACTGAAAACCAGAATTATTGCCTTAATTCTTTACATGGCAAAGAAAAATGAAATTCAAATTATACAAATGTAATCACAACACCAACGGCATGCTTGAGAAACATAATGTTGATAGAGCTTTCTTCGATATTTTAAGCTGTCACATTTATGTTTATGGAATGGATGGACACATCTGTTTATGCACACAGGAGAGGTTCATAAACACACATATATTTATATATTCACACTGCATGTATATATGAATAATATAAACAACAAAACTAATGACTCGATTATATGATTTTGAGAATTTATTAAAGATAAAAGTATGGCTTATACTCTTAGTTAATTTTCTTTTAGCAACTTTATATATGTATTTATATTATTTTAATTATTATTTCAAACTAGAAGCTATTTACAAACTAAATATGGGAATATGGATACTGCTGTACTATATTCTGTCTGTAGGGGCAGTGTGGAGCAGTGGGAAAGTTATATAAATCAAAGATTGGCACTTTAACAGTGCTAACTGTGTTACTTTTTATTGAATATGTCCTGCAGGGGCCCAGGAAGGTATTTCATGACGGTATCCATGATGCCCTCCTCCTCCTCTTCGGTGTCGCCGCAGCCGGTAGGTACGGCTTTTTTCGGGCGGGTCAAACTGCCCTCAGCGGCCTGCTCCATGGCGGCCTGGGCCTCCGCCTCCTTCTCTTCCTTCTTCTTGAGTCCGTACTGGAGGGAAGGGAAGAGCGATAAGATCAGATGTTTATGGGCCAGACCTCAGATTTCCCAGAAGTCATCGGCATCTGCTTTACTGAATGGGAAGATGGTAGCGTCATGGTCAGGTGTAGCCGTCAAGTTCGATGGCCTCTTGACCAGATGGGTGCCAATTCAAGTGTCAGGAGGAGCTCTAGTGGGAAAGCCATGGGCAAGACACTTAACGTGAAGGCTTCCAATAAAAAAATTCAGTTTGTGTAAATGAATAAACACTTACAAAGACATGCACGTCTAAAGAGTAAAGCAGAGTCAACAAGCAGGACTGTGAACCAGAAGACGGATTATAGTCTAAAAGCTACTGGTTCAGAGCTGCTTAGCTGCTCTGCCTCTGAAATTGACCTGAATTCCTTAAGTAAAACATACTGCTTTAAAGATAAAGTATAAGCTAGTTTGCTAATTAGCTGAATGCATTTAACAAGTGACCTGTGGATATCTGTGCAATGCTAATAAACAGAGGTGGAAAGTTCAGGTCCAGAAATTACAAATCCAGACCAGGATTTCGTTTCAACCAACCAGTTGAGTACTCTTTGAATGTGACTCTTTATGTTCAACTGGTTGGTTGAAACTAAATCCTGGTCTGGATTTATACTTTCTGGACCTGAACTTTCCACCTCTGCTAATAAACCGGATGCAAGTCATAGACGTGCCCATTCTTTTGCCTGAGTTGAACCACTCAAAGTCTGCTCTATAAAGTGCCTGTATGCTCCATTTGCTTGTTCAGTGCACTTTCATTTAAATTAAAAAAAGATTTAAATGTTTTATGTTGTAATTAAAATCACTAGTGATTTTATCTGCACTACTGCATTATCTGCACCTTGACCACTGAGTGTTCACTAAATTGAATAGAACATTATAATTTCATCCAGGTGTTTTCACAGAACTACATCTGATATTTATGAGCATCAAGTAAACATTTCTATCAAAAACATAAACTGTAATCTGTTCCAGATTTAATTACAACATTAAAACATCTTTCGCTTCCAGAGTAAATACCCATTAATACAAATAGATGTTTTTACATGACCAGTTTGGGGTTACGCCCTACGTTCAGGGGTATAACAATGGTTTTCATCCTGGAACCAGATACTGGCTCAGAACATAGCATGGAATGTGAGCATAAACGTAAACACACTTTATATGATCAATCTACTCATTGTTTCAAAATTTTCTATTCAGAATGAAATATCAGGGGAAATACAATTAAAAAAAACCCTGTCTAACAGTTTAATATTGAAAACCCAGACTTACACAATCCCCCTTAATGTAATTAAAATTACAGCAGGTTCCCTTGCAAAGTTCACCAGCGTCAGATCAGGTTCAGGAGAAGAATCGAGTGCGACCTCGTTTGGGACCGAGCATTTTCTGTTTTAAACTTTCAGACTCCGAAGGTCACGGTCCTGAAATTCAGAACTGCTGGAAGTTAAAGTGTAATTAACTTGTTTCCCAAGGCCTGTGAAAATGTAGAGCTTGGTGCTGAGATCCTAAATGAAGGTAACCAGGCGACTCGCCTGCGTGCTCTGGCAAGGCCGTGCGGCTCGCCCGGCCCAAAGAGGCCAGCATGGGCTTTCTGGGTCAGGCTTGTTCTCCAGGGCCCAAGCCCACCTGCCCGCTGTGCGGAGCAATGTGTGCCAGGACACCATGGTAAGGCAGGTGGCCCTGGAAGAGCAGGGCCTCACGGGAACAGATAGTGAGCCATGTTGCGTCCAAGTGGAGGGAAGCCAGCTTCTTGTGAATAGATGCAATCTCCTTGCTTGTGCTTTGCTGTCACTGAGAGAGCAGCAGTGGTGGCCTTTTCCAGTAAATGCAGGAGGGGCACTAGGACCCAGGAGCCCAGCCAATTCATCCAGAAGAGGTGTTCCCTGCTCTCACAAGCTCTGAAGGTCAATGTCATGCTCCCCACACATTCTACAGAAATGTGAGTGTCTCATTAAGGGTGGGGGGTGGGTGTGCGGCTCATACTCCTGGCTTAAGCCGAGCATAAGCAGAAGCTCTGGATTACTTAAATAATGTCATAATGATTTTTGTTGGTGGTAGAGTGTATGCAAATCCAATCCCTTCTGGCTGCTTAAAGGAAAACGAGGAGCTCAGGACTTTTTGTTCTCGTTGTGGAGCAGGACGAGGAAACAGCTCTTATTCTGTGAGTGCAGAGGGCCTGCGGGTGTCAATCGTGACAAGAGAGCCCTGAGAGAGCCTCCAGCACGATCCTGGATTCTCTTCAGCTGGGCTTAGGCCTGTACAGTAGCAGTGTTTCATACTGTAACCCCTTCACAGTCGTGCATTGGACATTCCTGCTTTTGGTTATTGGCCAGTTGGCGAATGAAAGAAATGAACAATTAAACCGTAATATTTTTGGAGCTTGCTGAAAGATCACAATAACTCACAGACGAAACGTAAGCCAAAAACAATGCTGAAAACGATTTGGATCACATAAAATCATATAAGGCCTAATATATAAATATTAGTACAGAGAAATCCAGTTATAACGGACTTCAAAGGACCTGGCAAAACAGTCTGTTATATCCAGAGTTGCTGTATGCCCAGGACACAACTACAGGACATCATTTACTCATGCCACACCCCAGCAGACACACTTGTGGTATAGATTATTATATTGTACATGTAGTAATCCAGCTTTACCTGACCAGATGCGTGACTATTAATAATCCCGACTCCGTATCTGCGCTGGATATCACCGGCACGCCACGCGCCTTGTAGGCAGAGCCTGCATGTCCGTTATAGCCGAACAAAACTACAGCTAAAAGCGGCCTGGGGACCAAATTGTTTGTCTGTTATAAACGAAATTACGTTATATGCGAGTCCGCTATATCCGATGCTTTTTCTGCATGTTCTTAAAGGTGCACAGCCGGGACTAGCGGACCTCGTCAATTACAGACGATATTCCGTTTTAAGCGAGTTCACTATAACGGGATTTTACTGTAATGCACAATATTTCTTAGTGTAAGTGCATACAATATCTTGGCCTGAGTACGCTGCGCATCTTCTCAGCAACCAGCCTCACTCACGTGTTACCTGTCTTTGTTACCGTGGAATCTCGCATTTCTCACAGTGACTTTTAAACTTTTCAGTGCTGTTGATTTTGCATTTAAATTTCCAAAACAAAGTACTAATTTTGCCCATACAGGGGCAAAATTCAGATGGTTTGTATATTATATAAAAAGGACTTGATAGGAAATGACATAGTAATTTGACACGAAAAGTGTACAGTACCGTTTCTTTAGAAATTGGTAATTGGTATCATTCAGGCTAGCAGACTGTTATGGGCAGAGGTTAGGGGGACCCAAGTATTATTCACAAATTGTCACATTCGCTGCCCCCAACCCTCGTGACTGTGAAGGGGTTACTGTACTCTAACACAGGAACTGCTGTTGTGCCTTTGTGCATTCTAACCAGCCTGGATGACTTCCTCACTTTGGATAAAATATAAAGTAAATATTTTCATTTTAATTTCAACCATATCACATGAACTTTTTGGTTTGGGCAACATATCAATACGTTGTTTTAAGTCTTTATTACATATTTAAGAGATATTAGCACGAATAGAGATGGACTATTGCCTCTCTATTATATATGAGCAATTCCACGTGAATGTGACGTATTATTATAAGGACATATAACTGTACAAATGAATTAGTGTCGACCAAAAGTCCCAAGAACAAGGGCTTTGTGTATCCTGACAGGGCTGATCAGACTGACTGCATGAGACCTGCTGGCTGCATTGTGGCAATGCTAGCTATGACCGCAGGCATCGTGCACTGTGATAAAAATGGGGCTACCACGTCCATCTAGCAGCCTTTAGATATTCTACGAGACAAATTTGGCACCAGGTTATCATTTAATACAGGCTAATGAAAGTGTTTATAACGGATGTGCAGCAACACAGAGGCTAACACATATACAGGTATGTTTAGTTTAATTATTAATTTGGAAACAGTAGCGTAAATGATCGGCAACTGCATATCGTCACACGGTACAAGAGGAAGGCAGGCATTTTGGTGAATGAATGGGCTTAGGGTTAGGGTTAGGGTTAGGGTTAGGACAAGGGCAGATAGGAGCGCCGTCGATGACCGGACTGGGGCTGATGAGACAATCGGGTACTTAAACGCAAAGACTAACGAGGGGCAACAAGCAACAGGTGTGGCACATCAGGAACAGGAAAGTCAGGCGGACATGACGGGAAAGACATTACACACATATAACTCAGACTTCTGCTAGGAAATTCGTAAAGAAGTAAACATTAAAACCTGACTCGGAATGTTTCACGCGAGCAGCTAAAACTCTAAAAATAGCCTGAGTTTTCCTCTGAGTCTTAAATGTCACTGTTTGGTTTTTTTTTATTATTTCTGAAGCATTTTACAGCGTTCGTGCTGGCTGGTGTCACCCAAGCTCAGAGCAGTGAGTGCCATCGCTCTTCACCTCACAACTCCCGCAATCAGACGCATGTCAAAGCGTTCTCTCTTCATGCCCCAAAAAGGTACCCACAGGACTTTTTCCCACTCCCTGTCAATCTCTGAGTACCTTCCTGTAGGTTCCCCTTCCCCAAGGTGAGCTTTAAAAAGATTAATTTTTCATAAACGTCAGTGAACTGCTTCCAGAACACACCGGCATTTGCTGCAGTGATGCTGATTCTGGTCACAGGTGGGTAGCTCCGATCCAGAGAGTAGAAGTCCAGACCAAGATTTTGTTTCTACCAATCAGTTGAGTACTCTGTGATTATGACTCTTTATACTCAAGTGGTTGGTTGAAACAAAATCTTGGTCTGGATTTTTTATTCTCTTGAACTGAATTACCCACCACTGCTTCTCTTAAATGAACCTCCAGAGGAACTTTAGAGAAACAGATACCGTCACTCACTCTGTTTAACAACTTTCACAAATGCCATCTTCTGGAATATATTTACTTCTCTTTGACCAACTTTAATAAGTTCAACGGAGAAAATAAAACTTCACTTAGAGTCTTGGCTCAGAAATTCTTTAAGCGAGTCTGGCTCCTCCTACGAGGGGCCAAAGAGAGAGAGGAGGTGTTGTAGGTGGGGGTGTATGTGCTCTGCCATGTAATACAAAACCGAAGGGGAAAAAACTGCACCATAAATCTTCCCTCCTACATGACCAGAAGGGTGATCGATTTAACACGCAGAGGCCCGGCTCCAGTCCTTTCTCCAAGTCAGTAAACTCAACACCAACATGGTGTGTGAATGTATAACACAGTATGGCGTAGGCGCGCTCTGGCTTGTAGATCGGGCTAATGCTGTGTGTTCTTCTCTCTGCGGAGTAGAAATCCCTTTAGCAGAATAGATGTTATTCTGTGCTATCAACCCACGTACAGACCCTCACAACATCTTCATCTTTTTTTTTTTTCCCCCTACAGCGCACTAATATTAAGTTGGACTTTCTTCTCACTGAATTACTCTTATCTTTAGAATTAGAATCCGAGTGACTCATGCATTAATTCAAATGTGTGAGTTTCCTGTTTGGCTGTCGTCAAATCCATGAACTGCTCCGTGGCTCGAATGCGGCGCTGCCATTAGGGGTCAGCCCCAAGAAACTGGATGCAAAACAAGATTTCAAAAGAAACCGGCGCATAACTAATCGCTTCAGACACCGCCCGCCCTCGGAATCAGCCAGAGTAATTGCATTCATTATGGCTTATTTGAAACATGCTATGTATGTTCAATAATATGCTGTCAAGCAAAGCTCGACTGAATAGAATTTGGGGTCTATTAGACAGGTACCGTTGAAAAAGGGGTAACGTTTTTTAATGACAGAAATGGGGGATTGTCTTTGCAATCTATGTCAGAGCTCTCTACCACCAGTCAGTGCATTATTGTGATGTGTTCATCGGTGAGTACATCACCCCCCCCTTACCTTATCTCTGATTCCCTGTCGGATCGACTCCCTCTCTGCCTCCATCCTCGCATACTTGGCCTTCCTCTCCTCCTCCTGCTGCCTCAGGGCCTCCTGTCGCTCCTCCTCCTTCTTCTCGGCATCTGGGTCCTTCTCCTCCTCACCGCCCAGCATCTTGCCCATGTCCTTGGTGGCCCCTTAGGGAGACGAGCAGAGCAAAGTAGCTGTTAGTGAGAGACCCCCCCCGGGGGAGAGGTGGCGCTCACCACGGCAGGGCGATGTTTTTATGGAGGCAGACCCTAGGGAGGGGGCTCCTTCATGGAACTGGCTCCAAAGGTTAAGGACGAGGAAAGCTGGCCATTATCTATCTATTTTCTGTACTCGCTTGTCCTGTTCAGGGTTGCTGGGGGTCTAAAGACTACCCCAGAGAATAAGCCAGGATGGGGCACCGACCCATGACAGGCCACGCTTACACATCATTCACTCATACATCATTCACACCGATGGGAAATTTGGTAACTTCAGTTAGCCTCAGCATGTTTTTTGGATTGTGGTTGGGGACAGAGCACCCGGAGAAAACCCCACGGTGAAGCTCCCCAAACACAGATCCAGGGCAGAGACTCGAACCCTGGTCCCATAGGCGAGAAGTCACAGCGCTGAACATGAAGGAAGCAAATATCCTTGTGTGCCATAAGAATACAAATATAAAAGGCTGGTCTGATCAGAAACAATAGGAGAGCTACAGCTACTTAATCTGCAAAATGTGTGAAGTAAAAAACGGCTCTTCTCGGTCCTGGGTGAAATAGCCATGCTAAAATGGCTAACAAGGTGAGATTAAGCATAATTATAAATGACATGGTACTGAAATCGCATCCAGGGTGTCACCTCTGCTTCCTGAGATAGATTCCAGGTTCTCCACCACCCCCTACTAGGTAAGTGGATGGAAGATGGGCAGCTGTGTGGATGGTATACTTGTATACTGAGGTAGTAAAGCATTGCTTATTGCCCAGAGAGTAACATTTTCCTGAATGATTATACTCATCGTCAGGTGAGGCAAATCAACCTAAGTGCCTGTCTGTGGTTCAGTCCCTGCATCCTCAGCCCCTGACAGCCAGCTGCTCTCTGGGGGGGGGTCTCGCCAAATGCTGAGAGATTCATCCGAGAGCACAGGGCCGCCTAACGAGCAGAAACAACCCCCGCCCCTCAGAAACGTCAACCCAGCCGGCAAACAGCCCGCAGTCTACAGTGGAGACGAACATGGCTACCCTGTGTCATTATGTTCTGGCATTTTGCCTCATTTCATACCCCATAAAAGTGCTGCTTGAGGGCAGCTTGAAAAGCCGCCACCAAAAATTGGCTCATGGATGTTAGTAACCAAACCCTGCTTTTGACGACAAAGATAGATCAGTCTTTATAAATGCCCAGCTTCTGTGCCAAGCTTTTTCAAAATAATTAACTTGATTTTCTTAAGCTTTTGCTGTAGCTCATTAATAAACGTATGATTACCTTTCAGCCCCCCAAAAAAAAAGATAATTGTTTTAAAATATCGTTAAAAAAGGAGTTCGGTGATTAATTGGATTAGTGGCTTTATTGTTTCTATGTGAAATTCTACTATTGGCTGAAGCATTATCTTAGACTGAAACAAATAGAAGTCAGTTGCAGCTTGAGAAAAATAAATGGGATTTATTGCCCTTAGCAGAAGATGGGCTCCACCGTCTCCTGCCCTTTGTGGCCCTGACCTCCTCCAGCCTGCTAAGTCCCTCTGGAGATCAGCCTGAATTGTGATCATTTGGACCACACGATATTCCAGCACTATGTCATGTCAACAAACCCCCGTGTCTTCACAGAAATTTGCCTGCGGCCTACGGGGATCCCTGGAATGAAGATGCGTCTTCAACTAAATCGGATACAGAGCAATAAAGAAAGGCAAAGATTGTCACGCAATATCCTATAATAAGGATTTAAACTTAAATTTGGCTCTCTAGCTTATTATTTAGTCCATGAAGCAGAGGATAAACCATTACATCTGAAGGACCTTGTGTGGCCTAACAGCACAGAGAAGTTATACAACTACAAGCATCCAACAGCAAGACTCACAAACCCAATGGGACTGAAATAAAGCCAAAGGCCTTGACTATATTAGTTAAATCATTAAAGGAACATCTAAATCCCAGCGAAGAAATTTCATTGGGAGTAGAAATGCACTTTAAGCTATTTAAATAATGTGTGTAGCTGTTCTTGCTATCATTGGGCGTCAATGACAGAATAACAAATGGCCGATGACAATGATGTGGCAGACAGTCAGGAAGAGCACGCCGCATTGCACACGTGAAGGCCATCGGGGTAATTAAACTAAGGCGTGTCCAATTACTAATTACGAAGGAGCTCCGTGGTAGAAAATGGGGTAGATGTTTGGAATGTCAATGAAAACCAAAAACGGTGTACCCGGGCCAGAAATGGAGTGTTTGTGATTTCGAGATCTGCGGCACGAAGCCACGGGACGGAGTCGGGCATTTGCTGGAGTGTGCAAACACAACAGGCGACGACAGGAAATGGATGAAGAACAAAAATATGGTAGTGTCTTCGTCACCGGTGCTGTCTCCGCTTTCCTGTTTGCACCTGAGTGCTCCGTCATACCCAAGGGCGTCGCTCTAATAAACAGAAGCAAGTGCTGGATCCGTTCCATATGTGAGTAATGCAATATCAGAATACTGCTTGGCACTTACACTTCCTACAGACCGTCGAGGGAGGGTGATGCTGGAATCGGAATGTAAATATCGAGCGTCGGCAACATTAAGATGGATCGCCGCATCCACCTCGGTCCCCTCTCATCGCCAGACGCGGCGGCTCCTAGCAGAAATGACTGGAGCAGCTGTGAATGTCACAGCAATTTGCCGCGGTGATTTATACGTGCCGCGAGGCAGTCCAAGGTGTGCGGCGCCGTCGCGGGCCCCGGGCCGGCTACCTCTTCGGTTTAACGCTTGGGACTTTCATCTCGCCATCACCTCCTGCTCCCCTGAGGTCTGTGTGGTATTCCGTGAATTGGAAACACGTCACCGGGAAGGACCTGTGATGTCTGTTATTAAGACTCTCCAGCCACAAGTGGCTACGAGGTCTGGAGACGGAGAAGATGAGAGATGGGATTCATAAGCCTCAGATGAAAGTCACACGTGAGTTCAATCACGCAGCGGTGATCAGGCTGCTTCTTCGTACATCCTGATCCCGTTCTCAGGCACGTTTGTTCTGTTTGTGTGCTGTTCTTTCCGATTGGGTGCCCACTACCATTTTAAACTGAGCCATTGTGTCTGTGAACCCTCTTTCCGTGATTCTGACTTCTAACTGAACGAGTGTCAGTCACGTACCATCAGGTCTTGGCATTTCCTTGCCAAGGTTTATTTTTGGGGAGGCATCAGCCTCTTACTATGTACGTAAAAAATATGAAACGAACGAAAGAGAAAAGAAAAGAATCTGGCATAGGTCAGAAGAGAAGCCATACTTGTTTAAGCACTCATTTACCATGCAGAAAATCCCTAGAAGTTTTAAGAGCTATTCCCTGCTTGAGGTCCTGGGGCATGCAACCTTAAACAGTACGCCATCTGCTGGTTTCCCCAAAGAACTGACATTTACAGATTCACACCCTAATGCCCCCCTGTCCACAAGAGGTGTCATTTACTGAGGTTTCTGTAAATAACTGACCAGTAACAAATATTTTCTCTGCAAACGGCCTGGTCCTTCCTAGCATTGTATCCCATGGGCTGGATCACGCAGAGAATACAGTGAAAGGATCTGTGGCACACATAGCTAAGATATCCTTTATGAATTATCCTTTTTTCCCAATTAAGTGATTTTTATACTGCTGCAGCTCTGCTGTAGTTATACCCACGGGTAATTAACTCATCTGTTACAACAAAGTCACTTTGTCAGCTTCGGTTGGGCTTTGGGATGGATTTTATTGCGAGTCAAAAAAGTACTATTACCATTCCGCATAACGCCATTCATTCTCCCAGCAGACTGTTTGACGACTCGCATTTATACCACACTATACTGATTTACAGAATGTTCTGAATATAGGAAAGCCATGTCTAGATTTGACCTTGAGCTGCTCTGGATAGATGACCGACTGTCGTTTTCAGTGCCGTGGTCCGTGGTTGTGTGCTCCTGTGCGGGGAAATGTCGTCTCAAGAGCAATTTTGATGAATGAAATTCCCCATCGGGTCACGAGTGCAGAAACCGTGCTGATCACACTCTGCGCCCCTCCCTGTGTCAAATCTGACTGCCGTGTGATGGATATTGAAGGACAGCTGAGTCACCGCTGAGCTGATGCGCCGTCATCGCTAACTGGATAGGATCCTGGAGTACAGGAGACCCCCCCCCCCCCAGCGGTGTATCGAGTGCTAAAACCATATAATTTTGTGCTGCATGTTTTTTTATTTTTTTAGTTTTGCACAAAGACCCTGGCAGTTCGGTATGTGAAGATCATGTATTAAGGATCTGAAAATGGTGTTCAGGTTTAGAGTAGATTGAGTGAGAGGGAGACACTTTTTCCTGGGCCATGAATGCAGTGTGTGTGTGTGTGTGTGTGTGTCTGACCAAATGTAGAGGTTAATGTTGTCATTGTTGGGATTAGGGTTCTGCCCATTGACAAGTATGCATGCTTCGGATGTTCATAAACATGCCCTTTAGTGTGAGGTTGGGACCCCCCCCCCCCGGCCTCGGCTCCCCCTCCCCCCACCATCCGTTGGCTCGTCATGGTGGTCAGCTGGACGCATCGTTATTCGACGGCCGGCTGGGCAGCCGGGGTCCCCTGGCACCGCGTCCCTGCACCGCTCGAGGGGGCACCAGCGTGGGCTTTTATCCCTCAGCAAGCCCGGGCAGTGACCGCCCAGCTGTTCCCCTCTATCATGCTCTCAAGGTCGGTAATTAAATTTGATTCAGCTTAGCCAGGTAGAAAAAAAAGAAGTTTTCCCAACCTTCAACTCCCCCCCCCCCCTCCACGTTACAAACCACTGGGCCAGAGTTAAGTCATAAATGGGGTAGCTGTGCGTCTCATTTAGGGATTTCTGAGAGAGCCCCCACCCTCACCTCTTATACCACCCAGATAAACCAAATCATCACCTACCCCCCGCCCCCGACAGCGTTTGGTTCAGACACAGAATTAGAGAACAGCGAGATGCGCAGGACAGAAAGGCTTGGCCCG